GCTGAACTCCTTTAGTCCACACCTCCCAGCTGAAATCACAAGCTACTTAAGAGAGGCAAGATAGGCAGACACAGACAACGAGAGCCCCTGGGAGACCCAGCAAGTCCAGAGTGCTCATTTCCAGTTTTTTAGCCAAACCTCATAGTTGGAATGTTAAAACATTGGGATATGACTTTGCTAATGTTTGAAAAATGCTTCTTCACCAGGAGGGGGTGAGGGAGGATCTCCATAGGAAATTCCTTCCTTCATACATAATAATTTGTCACTGAATTTAAATTACTCTCAGTCACGTAGTGATGCCGGTAAAAAATGTTTCTCTGCATAGAAACTGTGGTCCCAGCTCTTGCCTTCTTTGAGCGGAGTGAGATTGTAGAAGCAGATCTGGGTACCCCAGCCATTCCTGCAGGACTTGTGTGTGTTAGGGAAGCACACAGAGGAGAAAGGGTGATGTCAGGAGAACAGAGGTGGCCCGTGTGTTCTTCATGACAGGATCTTCCCCACTGGTTGTCAGCTTCCTGTCATGTGGGCGGCAAGGCTGGCAGGGCAGGGCTTCACTATTGAAGCTTCCCATAATTGAATAGCCCATTGAATAGCTTCAATAGTCTTGGCTGTCAGCTTGACAATCTATAGGTAGGCTGGGGTAGTTTTATATTCTATAATGCAAAGCATATTAAATGGCAATTTGGAGTCACAGATCCGCATTTAATGTCTTGAATATTTAAATTACTTCCATTCACATGTTTGTTTTTTCCTAAAGAAAACTACTTGAATAGCTGTGCCAAAAAAATAAATAAATAAACAACCAGCAAATGATTTCACTTCTAAAATAATAAGAAGAAGAAAAAGAAGATCATTTGCTCTTAAAAAAATGGGATGAGGTGAGATTTTCTCCTTTCTAAAATTGTTTCTAGACTACTAAAACAATTGTGTTTAAAAATATCCTCTGGATTATACAAGAAGGGAGTCAGAGACCACTGATAAGACACAGTGTGTGTGTGTGTGTGTGTGTGTGTGTGTGTGTGTGTGTGTGTTTTCTGCTTCTTTCTGCTTCACTGGAGGCTGGGCTTTCCTGATTTTCAGTTTCTCTGTTTTCTGCAGGTAAATCTTCAGTTTCTCTATTAGCTGCTTCAGTCTGTTTTCCATTTTCTCCCCTTTTTGCTTTGGTTTGCACTTTTTCATACAAACATTTATCCTTTCCTGCTACCTTTTGGGGTTTCATTTCCACTTTTGCAGGGACAGGTTTAGCTGACACCTCACCTGTCTCTTCTTGGGCTTTGAGAGAGAAAAGGCACTTGTCATTGAGGCAGAGGAGTTCATAGACCATCCACCCACCACCCTACCTCCCAGAGAGAAGCAGAGCTCACCTCCTCCTTCACATCTCCTTTGGCCCAGGTGACCTTCCTCTTGGGCATCCTAGCAGTGGGGGGAACTTACCCTCTTACAGTCACCCCAGCTCTTATTTTTTATCTTGAGTTAGGGTCTTACTAAATTGCTAAGGCTGGACTCGAACTTGCCATCTTCCTGCCTCAGCTTGCCAGGTTGCTGGAATTAGAGTGTCTTTGGGCCAGCTCTTCATTTTTTGCCAGAGGCACCTAAGATCCTTCTGTGAACTACAACAGCTAACCCTGAAATAGTGTTTAAATGTGCCTTTATCCCCTTTAATCCCTACAGCAACTCGGTTAACCTCATTTCACAGATGAGGAATAGAAGCTCAAAGTAAGTAAAGAGTTTGCTAAAGACTGAACAGCTGCTAGACAGCAGAGGGGATACATGAAATCGGGTGTCTGGTGTCTATCTAGGCTCAGCACTATTCTGCTATTTTCCGAATGGCTTCGTACAATTCTAGATCAGGACTCTCAACAGTGATCTCCAAACATTGTTGAGAAAGGAAGGTGAAAGGCCAGGCTCCTCAGCTGGACTTCAGGCTCACCTCTCTGTTATGCCGCCTCCTCAGGAGAGCCCTGCCACTCCCTGCTGCTCCCTGCTGTGCCTCTGCCCATACTCTCTGTCAACCTAAGACTTGTGTTCCTGACGGATTTGAAATGTATTCTGGATTTCCTTCAGCTCTTAAAACATAGATGTTATAGAGGGAGGGAGCGTAGCTCATAGTAGATTGCTCCACTAGCATATGCAAGGCCCAGAATTCAATCACTGTCACCACAAAAAACAGAACACAATAGCTTTATAGATATGTGTAGTAGCATCTTCTGAGAGGTAATGTATAGAAACTACATATTTGGGGCTGGGATTGTGGCTCAGCGGTAGAGCGCTCGCCTAGCATGGGCGGGACCCGGGTTCGATCCTCAGCACCACATAAAAATAAAGGCATTGTGTTGTGTCCATCTACATTTTAAATGTTTTTTAAAAAAAGAAACTACATATTTGCTCCATGAAGGGTTATGCACAGATAACAAAAGCAAGCCTCGACTGACTTAGACTATTGAAGTTTTTATTTATAAACAAGCTGGCTCATGAATGTGGTTGTTTTACAACTTGAAACACCCCTATGAGCACAAGTCTTCACTTGTGGTCTCCTCCTGTTTTATCTTGGTTAAGTTCCTAGATTTGAAGCACAGATCTTAAAGTAGTGGGAGAGTTTTGAATTGTATGTAAGTGTCGTGGCCTTTCATGAAGTTGTCACCTCCTTGACTGTTATCAGGTGCTTAAGTAATGAGCATGGGCTGGCAGTTCCCTCTGAAGGAGACAGGTCAGTGGTCATGTTTCACAGGAAGCTGAACGGTCAGTGCTGATTGAAAGGTTTGCGGTTAGTGTTGACTCTGACTGGCATGTTTTTCAATGGGCACCAAACGCTCCAGGGCTATCCTGCTAAGATGTGGTCTTAAGCATGCTTTCTTCTAAGCCCTTGAGAGTCTTGCAGACATGATCTCATCAAATAGCACAGCTGTGAAGTAGGGAAGGTGAAGTGTCATCACCTGTCTCTGGGTGAAGAAGGAGTACTTCAGGCCAGAACTCTGGTGCTTTCTCCCCGTGGCTCTTCCAGATGGTATACAATGTGCCCTTCCTGTCAGCCCAAGTACTGCCTTACAGAATAGCCCTCTTCTTATTACCACTTCCCAATCTGCCTCTTAAGCTGTCACTTCTGTTTCTTCCCTCTGATGCCACCTGTATGTTGGTGGCACCTCCTCAGGCCTCCCATCTCACTCTTCCCTGATCCCCTCTCTTGCTCTGCCACCTTGCAGGACCCCACACCCACATTACTGACTCTGTAGCCAAGTCCATTCAATGTTTTTGTCCTACCACTCAGCTAGGATACTACCAGGAAGAGAAAACTTGGTTTAATGTTAGATGATCATTGGATATTAAACACTTAATTTGTTCTGGGTACTGTGTGAGGTAGGCGGATATAACCATGAGTAATATGGTATTTAAGAGCCTGGCAGTTTCTCCTGGTCCTAATGGAGCAGTCAGACAGCTGAGCGGGATAAAAGTCAGAAGTACCACAGGCCTATCCAGGGGCAGTGGGGACAGTGCTGTCTCTCCACAAAATGGTTCTGTACTCCCACGGTGACTGGCTGCCACCAAGTGGCCCTGTGCAGCCTCCACTGAGATCATTGTCCTGTGTCCTCTTTATTCCCTCCTGAATGACAGGGTCTTTTCAGTCTCCTCCTCCTTGCCCTCACATTGCTCAGCATTTCCATCTATAGAAGCCTCTTTTGTAGCCTCTGCCTGCTTCATCCTAGTGCAGAAGTGACCCTCCATGGGTTCTTTCCCTCTCCTTGCCCTCCTTGTCACCCTGCAGCCATGTTTCTTAGTCCCCTCCTGCCCCTTTCACCTCCCTGCCTCAGATTGCCTCGAGCTCTGGGCACCCTGCAGCTGTCCTCAGATCATACTGCACATGTCTCTGTTTGAAATCTCCCATGATTTTGCAAACGGGGAAAAACCCAGGGTAGTCTGACCTTGGTCTGTGGCTCTGTGTCCCCTGTCTCATGTCTCTGAGTGCTGCTGCCATTCAGCCCACTCCTCCTGCCTCCTCTGCTCTGACCAGTCCCTCTGCTAAGAATACCTATCCTCTACCTGAACTTTTCACCTGCCCAAAGACCATGAGTCTTTGAAAAGGCAGCTGTCCGACCCCCTCTCTTGGGTGGAAAGGAGCCCTCTCCTCTGACCCTCTTTCACCCCACCTGTACCTCTCCTGCAGTGAGCACCAGTTTCTGTCTTCTGTTTATCCCACAAACAACTTTAAGAAACCTGTCCTGTACCTACTAGGCTCCAGGGCTCCTACTTCTTTTTTCTTTCTAGTCATATCACTAAGGGTAAATCTTTACTGTTATAGCCAACAATGGTCATTGTAAACAGTAGGCATTTAATAAGCATTTCATTCTCATGGAAATATAAGGGAGAACAGTGGAGTAAAGGAAGGGAATGGGAGGGGAAGATGGAAAAGACAGGCATGAGATGGACCAAATTATGCTATGTGCATGTATGAATATATTGTAGTGAATTCCACTTTTATATATAACTATAATGCACCAATTAAAAAACAATAAATAAATAAATAGAAGGAAGACCAGTAGAGGAGAGGAAGGGATTCAGTAGGAGGGAGGAAGGGAAGGAAAGGAAAAGTACTAGGGATTGAAATGGAGCAAGTTATATGTATTTATGAAAATGTCAAAATGAATCCCATTAATATGTATAATTATAATGCTCTAATAAAAAACATTTTTTAAGATCAACATTTCATAGGGGGCTGGGGTTATAGCTCGGTGGTAGAGCACTAAAGAGAAGAACTTAAGTTTCTTTCAAATCCACATTTGTTCTTGATAATAGGTTACATCGTCTGGGGTGTGATATGAGCTTGACTTTTGGCATCTGTAGGACATGCACATTCTGAGTCATCTGTAGCACCTTGCAGGCTCTAGCAGTCACAGAGAGGCAAAGTATCATAGCACAGTCAGGCACAGAGTAAGGAGAGAAGTCACCTGTGGTTTTGTTTTATAATGATAATGACACACTCTTACATCTTCATGCTTCCCTCCCAGGAGATGGCAGGCAGAGCGCTCAAGCAGACCGGCAGCAGGAGTATTGAAGCCGCCCTAGAGTACATCAGTAAAATGGGTTACCTGGACCCCAGGAATGAGCAGATCGTACGCGTCATTAAGCAGACCTCCCCAGGTGAGCCCAAACCAGTAGCATGGTGTATGAAGAAGATTTGTGATTTGAAAACACAGAACAGTTAGCAGGAAAATGTCCAGCCTGCCCTTGGTCAATAGATAGTCTCTTAGCACATTGTCTTATGCATTTAACAGGTAAGCTGAGCCTGCTCTGCCCCAGCAGTAAGGACCTGGAGGGACCTACCACAAGTAGTAGATCATGGGACTTTCCTGGGTGCTCACCCCACCCCAATCTGAAATAACCTGTGGTGCTCCCAATCTGGAGAGTTTGCTTGTTTTGTTTTATGAAAGATTGAAAAATTAAAGTGAGTAAAAATGTTGTTTTTACTTGCTATTGGGCCTGGAGAAGTCTTTGAAAAGGGAGGCTTATCCAAAAAAAAAAAAAAACAACCTTTTCTCACATCATAGCCTTTGAAAGCAGCTGTCCAGTGGAGGGCACCTCTCCGGGCCAGAGCTGTGAGCAGTATGCTGGGCTTCCCCCTAGTGTCCCCTGGGAACAGCTGAAGGCATCTGCTCTGTTTCAGTGACTATCAAGGGATGTTCCTCTCTGAGGATGGAATAGATGAACCCTATTTTTGGTATTTGAAGTCCCTGGGGTATAATAAAGGATTCATGATAATTTCCAAAAGGAATTTTCCCTATCTGTGGAAGACCTGGTGTGAAGCTCACTTTATGGAATGAATGAGAAAATCTTACAGGTTTTGTAAGTTCTGTCTCTGTTGTTAAGGAGAACATACATTTCTGTTTTCTTCTTGAGAGAAGGAATTTCCTTAGCCTCCAGCTGGCCATCTATGTTATGATTCTTGTTCTGTGACCTTAAGCATGATACCAAAGGGAAACACACACACACACACACACAACCGCCCCATTATGATTTCCTTCCTAATTGCCTTTGGTGTGGTGTGCTCACTGATGCATCTTTTTAGCCCTGGCAACACAGAGCCATCATCACTGGGCTCTGACTTCTACTCAATGCCCAGGCTACTGAGGCCTTCACCCTGCCAGGTAGTCCAGGGAGGGTGAAGGGGACACAGCCTTTGGACTATAGCACCCTCTGCCAAATCAAGCAGTCATTGTACGAAACTGAAAGGAGCCTTTGTCCTTCCTTCCAAGCGTCTGTTTTAAATGAAGAGAGATTTTCAGAATGGAAAAATCAGGAATAAGGAAGCAACAGCAGAAATCCATCTGGGTATTTGTAGGGGGATTCTGTATGGTTTTTATTGTTGTTGCATATATGTTGTTTTGTTTGGTTTTAATAAAAACAAAAATCCCAGAAAATCTTTAATTTGAAAAATAGATGAAAATAAAGTAGACATTTGGACAATGGCTATGATTCTACTGTTAGAGAAAAGGAGACTGGGAATCATGTGGCAGTAAACTTGCTGTCCCAAACAACCTGGGCATATCATGGAGAAAACAGAGCTGGCTGTTCAGTTGGTTCCCTAGCATGGCAGGATGGTGATCCTGGGTGCTATGTTCTCCAAGGTGTGAGGGAAACACCCCAGCAGGACTGGGAAACTGTCCTTCCTATGGCCAGTAACCCTCCTGAACTCCTGAAGTTCCCCACACCCTCATGCTATATTAAGGGGAGTCCTCAGTTGAAGACCTTGTGCAGCCACTCAGCCTCTAGGACATTGCCAGTGTAGGGATCAATCTGAAAGTGCCAGAACTGGCTGACCACACTCCTCATGCTACCTTCCCATTCTTTCCACTGCAGGAAAGGGCATTGTGTCCACCCCGGTAACAAGGAGGCCCAGCTTCGAAGGCACAGGCGAAGCGTTCTCATCCTACCACCAGCTGGGAGGTGCAGCCTACGAGGGCCCAGGCTTTGGCACAGATGGCCCCGCGGGACTGGAGGAGGTGCCACGGCAGTATATGGACTTCCTCTTCCCAGGAGTTGGTCCCCACAGCCTGCCTGGCCACCAGCACCCCCCCAAAGCCTATGGTGCCAGCATGGAGGCAGCGGGAGCACATTTCCCGGCCACCTGCCCCACCGGTCCGTCCCTGCCACTTCCAGGTGCACACTATGGCCGCACGCACCTCCTAGTACCCGGGGAGCCTCTGGGCTACGGTGTGCAGCGCAGCCCCTCCTTTCAGAACAAGACGCCGCCCGAGTCGGGGGGCTATGCCGGCCTGACTGCCAAGGGCCAGGGGGCCCCGCCAGGCGCGGGCATCGCCTTCCCCACGCCCACTGCTGGACTGTATGGCCCGCATGCGCACCATAAGCAGGCTGGCCCCGCAGCCCACCAGCTGCATGTGATGGGTTCCCGGGGCCAGGTGTTCACTGGCGACAGCCCACCACAAAGCTTGCTGGTCCCCTCAAGAAACAGCCTCAATGTGGATCTGTATGAGCTGGGCGGCCCCCCTGTGCAACAGTGGCCAGCAACCACACTGGCCCGCCGCGACTCGTTACAGAAGCCAGGCCTGGAGGCTCCACGCCAGCACGTGGCCTTCCGGCCTGACGGCCCAGGACCCAGCAGGACCAACTCCTTCAACAGTCAGCAGCCGCGGGCTGGTGCACCAGGCCAGGCCGAGCCTTCCCTGCCTGCCCCAAACACTGTCACAGCCGTGACTGCCGCGCACATCTTGCACCCAGTTAAGAGCGTGCGGGTACTGAGACCTGAACCACAGACAGCCGTGGGGCCCTCCCACCCTGCCTGGGTTCCCGCACCTGCCCCAGCCTCTGAAGGCCTGGACTCGAAGGATGAGCACGCCCTGGGCCTGGGAGCCACTGCTGTCTACCCACTGGATGTGGAGTACAGTGGCCCAGACCGCAGATGCCCACCTCCACCCTACCCCAAACACCTGCTGCTGCACAGCAAGTCCGAGCAATACGACCTGGACAGCCTATGTGCCGGTGTGGAGCAGAGCCTCCGTGCGGGCCCAACTGCAGAGCCTACGGAGAGGAGCGACAAGAGCCACAAAAGTGCCAAGGGGGACAAAGGTGGCAAGGATAAAAAGCAGATCCAGACTTCTCCAGTACCAGTCCGCAAAAATAGCAGAGATGAAGAGAAGAGGGAATCCCGCATCAAGAGCTACTCCCCCTATGCCTTTAAGTTCTTCATGGAACAACACGTGGAAAATGTCATAAAAACCTACCAGCAGAAGGTCAACCGGAGGTTGCAGCTTGAACAAGAAATGGCCAAAGTAATTTCTCATTTTATTCTCACTGTTTGCCCCTGGCTCCTCTCTACTGGTAATAGGAATCACAACAGAGAAGTACTATTCCTAATTTATATACCTTTATCATAAACCCTGTATCACAGGTCATAATCTGGTTATGGGACCAGCAGTTTAGAATACTCACAAATGTGAATACTTCCCTTTCTCTATTTCCTCTTCCCTCTGACTTCAGGAGACTGTGATAGCTGTCCATAATGTTGCTAAAAGGCAAATTAGCAAATTGATTTTTATGGTGTGTCTTTACACAAATTTCATCAAGGCTTATTTATTAATGTAACATTTTAGAAGAGTAGAAATAAAGTCTGAAGTTCTAAAAATTAAAATTAGGATTCATAAATAAAAATATATCTAGTAATAATCCAGTTGGCCATCCTTTAAGTTTTTAACTAATAAAGAATATTTTAAACATACTTTAATTGACACTCAAGTGCTAGAAAAGATGATTTTTAATAAAGTTATTCAAATTAAAGTGTAACACTAAATTTAAATCACACCAAATTCTAAAAATCAAATGTATTTGACTTGTTTTTGTTTTCCCATCTCTTCTGAGCTAAGTATTAGATTGTTCTTGGAGTTCCTGGAATGTTGTGGTCCCTTTTCCCACCAACTTTCATTAATAGAGGTTTTCCTTAGTTTTTAGAGCCTAAAGTCACCTAAAGAAAGAACTCTGTTCTGTCATACTCTGGATTCCAGGTTCGTATCTACATTTGAACATAAGGAACAAACTGATGATTATTTTGCTTGTAGTAGATTAGACCCATTCTTCTGTTTTTTCCTTTCTGTAGAGCCCACTCAATTCCAGGGCCTCCCTTGCTCCCATCACTTGCTACTATAGAATCCCTCTAAGTTGACTTCTTCTCATTTTCCTTGTGTGCAGGCTGGACTCTGTGAGGCTGAGCAGGAACAGATGAGGAAGATCCTTTACCAGAAGGAGTCAAATTATAACAGACTAAAGAGGGCCAAGATGGACAAATCCATGTTTGTGAAAATCAAAACCCTGGGGATCGGTGCCTTTGGAGAAGTATGCCTTGCTTGTAAGGTGGACACTCATGCCCTGTATGCCATGAAGACCCTGAGGAAGAAAGACGTCCTGAACCGGAATCAGGTGGCCCATGTCAAGGCAGAGAGGGACATCCTGGCTGAGGCAGACAATGAGTGGGTGGTCAAACTCTACTACTCCTTCCAAGACAAAGACAGCCTGTACTTTGTGATGGACTACATCCCTGGAGGGGACATGATGAGCCTGCTGATCCGTATGGAGGTCTTCCCTGAGCACCTGGCCCGGTTCTACATTGCAGAGTTGACTTTGGCCATCGAGAGTGTCCACAAGATGGGCTTCATCCACCGAGACATTAAGCCTGACAACATTTTGATAGATCTGGATGGTCACATCAAACTGACAGATTTTGGCCTCTGCACTGGATTCAGGTGGACTCACAATTCCAAATACTACCAGAAAGGTATTATCTTAGGCGTGCTCTGTCCAGTTTCTACATCTTGATGTATCTTCCCATCCCAGTGGCTCCTAATCACTTTGAAATTATCCATTATTGTATAACAAATTATTATTATTGTATAACTCGGTGTGATAGCCTTCCCTCCCTAAAGGAAGGATCTGATATGTGTGAGATTTTTTTCTTAACCCATTAAGTCCCACATTTCAACTATAAATACTTCAAAAAAATTGACACAAGTACATTAAAGTAAATTGGAAATCATACTCTAGAGCATATATTGTTATTATATTAATATTATATCAATTAAGTTTCTATATATTTTATATATTATATACTATATTTAAGTTTATATAGGTGTTCCATATCTGGGCTGATGGGACAAAATTTGTTGTTAGTGGATTTAAGTTTTACTACATTGTAGATATGTTGTCATGGGGCTTTTGTGAAGAACCATCCCTCTGCCTATTTAAACAAGCCTTAAAAAGTGAAAGTTTTAGAGCTGGATACAGTGGTACGTGTCTGTAGTCCCAGCTACTCAGGAGGCTAGGCCAGGACGATTGCTTGAACCCAAGAGTTGGCCGCCTGTCTAGGTAATATAACAACATCCCATCTCAAAATAAAAGTCTCACAGCCTCCCAAGGCTAGCTCTTTCATAGCTAACCTGGATCTAATATATAGTTCAACTCCATTTCTAGGTTTGCTATTTGGAAAAGTCAAAAACAGTTGGTCACTCTCTTTCTAATGGCTGGGATGCTTGAAATAGCTGTTTTCATCCCATAACTCAGACTTTAAAAACTCAAAATGAACCTGACTCGTTCACTTTTTCTGGAATTTGTTACTTTTGTTCATACTTTTTAAATTCTCTTTAATTTTTCCATGCTTATCACAAAATGTCTTGCTAGACAGGTGTTAGCTTTTGGCGTGGGGGGGGGGGCGACTAGGGATTGAACTCAAGGGCACTCAAAACTGAGCCGCATCCCCAGCTCTATTTTGTATTTTATTTAGAGACAGGGTCTCACTGACTTGCTTAGCTCCTTGCTTTTACTGAGGCTAGCTTTGAACTGGCAATCCTCCGCCTCGGCCTTCTCAGTGGCTGGGATTATAGGTGTGTGCCACTGCGCCCAGCAGGTGTTAGCCTTTTGATATTAACCTGAAATTGATGCCCCAAAGTTCTTCCAGCCTGTATTCTTATTCACATTGTCTCATTGCCAGCTCAGCACAGTGTAGTTGGCTGTTAGTGCTCCAGCCATCATTTCTGCCTTGGCACTGATGTTACCTTACAACTTGTTTCTCAGAGCCCTGGAACAACAGTTGTCCCTGTGGAGCAGTTGGAGAGGATCCTTTGTCCTAACATGTCAGCAGCTGATTGGAATTACTTTTCGGCTAAGCTATGAATTTCGTTTCATTGTTCAGTAGTGAACATTCATTTTATTTTTTGTTCTTTTCTCTTACTACCCATGATTCCTGGGCAAAGGGAACCACATCAGACAGGATAGCATGGAGCCCAGTGACCTCTGGGATGATGTGTCTAACTGTCGATGTGGGGACAGACTGAAGACCCTGGAGCAGAGAGCACGGAAGCAGCACCAGAGGTGCCTGGCACACTCCCTGGTTGGAACCCCAAATTACATCGCACCAGAGGTGCTCTTGCGCAAAGGTATGCCATTGGGCTACTTCCTCCCACCCCACAGCCAGCTTCTGGCTGAAGGCCATCCTTACCTGCATCTCTATGGAGCCAGGTGACCTCTAAGAATTCTCTCCAGCTCTAGCTTTCCAAGACTAAACTATCCCTAATAAACAAGCCTCCTGCTTCTCATCTCTGTTCTGAAAATACCCTTGCTTCACACACCGTTAGGCCAATGTCTGCTTGCCTTTTCCTCCAGCTGGGATGTGTGGGGTGTAGGCTTTCTACCTAGGACCCAGGGAATGGCTTTAGAATTGGTTTCTACGGAGTCAAATGATGGAAACAACTCTGGGGCCACAGGACACTACTCAGTCTGCCTAAACCATCATTTGTAGGCTCTCTTTTAACTCTCCCTTGCCCAAGTTCTCAACCAAGTTATACCATATTCAACACACAAATATTGTTTTCCACCTAATCTCCCTGCCAGCCCAAAACCTCATAGGAGATAAGATTTGCAGACAATAGTGGGCATAAAATCACCAGTACTCATAAAATTTGTCTCCTAGATGGAGGTTTCATTCCTTCAAATACAATATCTGGTTCAGACCAGGAGGGTCCTTCAGTGATCCTGCATAACCTGTAGTGACATTATGCTGATGATCTGATTCCGTATAATAAATCTAGACTTAGGCTGCCTTTTCCTTCACACACATTTTGTTTGAAGTGTTTGCAGCCAGCAAGACCAGTTCAAGTCGAAGTTTCTTTGTTGGCTGTGGTAATCCAAGGCAGATTACTGTACCACTCAGCATTACGAATGTGGCAGTTAACTCCTCAAAAGCATGTGAATATTAATCCTGGTGCCCAGAAAAGGCCTCAGGTCTCCTGCCATGTGAACCATTCCAGAGGAGCCAGTGGTCAGGGTTATTCTGTAGCCTCCAGTGCCACCTGGGGCAGGACGAGATGAGATGGTGGGAGTGCGCAGGGGTCCTGCTGACCTCACATGTGTTTCCCACTTAGGAAGGATTAGGTGACATGAAGCCTATCCTGGCTTGATTGGAACCTGGAGCTCTGAAAGAAAAGTGGGAGAAAATCAAAGATAAATAAACTCACTTCACAGAATCCTTGAGGCTGTCCTTGATTACCCTAGATGGGGACTCTGGGAGAAATGCCTGGCTCCAACAGGGTCTCATAGTAAATTATATGGATTATAGTGAATACTTTCCAATTGTCCCCTTTGCCAAAATAGCCTACTCTCATCCTCCTCATCTTTACGTTCTTCACCTTGTTCCAAAACTGACTTGGAAGCCTCCCCAGGAAACCCTCTCCGTGTCCTTACCTGCCCATATCCCAGTCATGGCACTTTGTTTTGTGAGTGTTTATTTTATGTGATCTTTAAGAGCTTAAAATTCCTTTAAAAAAAACTGGGGATTGAACTCAGGGGTGCTTTGCCACTGAGCTACATCTCCAGCCCTTTTTATTTTGAGATAGGGTCTCATAAAGTTGCTGAGGCTGACCTAGAACTTTGGATCTTCCTGCCTCAGCTTTCTGAGTAGCCAGGATTATAGGTGTGTGCCACTGCACCTGGCAAGAATTTAAAATTCTGATTAACATCTTGTATTATTGCTAATAATACCAATAATCTTTTTAAGTAAAAAAAGTCTTTTCTTACTATAAAAGTATTCTGTATTTATTACAGGCTAATAATAGAAAATAAGTGACTGTGGCCTCCCCCCATGATGACTATAGCACCCTGATCCCAACCCCTTCCAGCCCACCATTCTCAGTCCTCCTGTGCAAGACCAGGCATTTATGTAGGTGTGTCTCTTCTTCTTCTATTACAATACTACGTTAGCTTGTTTTCTCTCTTCACAGTAAATCTGTATGTGCAGGATCTTATAGAACTTACCTTTGAGAAGAATCTGCCAGTGCAGGAATTGAGTGAGTGACTTTTGTCTTTCAGGGTACACTCAGCTCTGTGACTGGTGGAGTGTTGGTGTGATTCTCTTTGAGATGCTGGTGGGACAGCCGCCATTTTTGGCTCCTACTCCCACAGAAACCCAGCTAAAGGTAAGCAGAAAGGAACTTACACCTGCTTTTCGCAGAGCACCAGACTTTTCTGATTCATCCATGGATCCTTGGTTGGTGTTTGACCTCTTACTATTCTGAGTAGGATGGAAATTGCAGTTCTATATACTGAGGGTATTTTAAAGTAATATTGTCTTTTAAAATTATTATCTTGGGCTGGGGATGTGGCTCAAGCGGTAGCGCGCTTGCCTGGCGTGCATGCAGCCCCGGTTCGATCCTCAGCACCACATACAAACAAAGATGTTGTGTCCGCCAAAAACTAAAAAATAAATATTAAAATTCTCTCTCTCTCTCTCTTTAAAAAAAAAAAAAAAAAATTATTATCTTTTTTCTTTTTCTTTTTTCCAGTACTGGGGATTGGACCCAAGGCCTTGTACATGCTAGGCAAGCACTCTACCACTGAGCTACCTCCCCAGTCCTTTTCATTTTTTATTTGAAGCAGGGTACAGTAAAGCCACAAAATTAGACCTGAGTCCCACATTTTTGTGTATCTGAAATTTTTAATCCATTGTTGGTATGGCATCTTGTTATTCCCAGGCCAGAACTACACAGTGAGAAGCAGTAAGAGCCCAAGGCAAATCACGTCTCGCCACCATTTGTGCCTACTTTGCAAAGAACAAGCCGAACTTTGTAACTTAAAGCTAATGAAATCAGTGTGTTTATTTGGATGTTAACACTGCTATTTGCAAATTATCAGCTAGGTGGTTAGGCTAGTTGTGTGTATTCTTAATACTCATTTGAAATCATTAAATCTGCCAACTGATCATTTAATACTAAATAATTTTAGAAATGACAACCATTTGTTTCTGAAAAAAATTATTAGTTAGGGGTTGAATTGAGCATCTGAAATCTTCAGTGGATTTAGCCACTGATGCACAATTTAGGAAGTTTTCATATGCCCTCCAGTCCATGATAGAGCCCAAGTGTAGTCTAGGAAAACCTTAAATTAAGGCTTAGTTTCACTCTAAGAATAATACATTTGCAGTTTGGCCTTTTCTTCATATTTATTGAATGCTGAAACTCACTAATTTGACTGCATAATAACCCAGATTATTTTTGAATTGTGGTAAAATATATGTAACATAAAATTTACCATTTTAACCATTTTGAAATATACAATTTAGTGTCATTAAGTATATTCACAATATTGTGTGTCCATCTCCACTCTCTATTTCCAAATATTTTCAACATTCCCCCAGACAGAAATTTCACCCATGAAATAACAACAACCTTTTCCCCCTTTGCCCCCTTCAGCCTCTTCTAACCTCTGTCCTTTCTGCTCTGAATTTGCCAAATATAGGTACTTCACATATGTGGCATTGTATGTTCCTTGTCTTTTTGTGACTACCTTATTTCACTTAGCATAACATCCTTAAGGTTCCATCCATGATGTAGCATGTGTCAGGATTTCCTTCCTCTTTAAAGCTGAATTTATAATCCTTGTGTGTATGTACCATACTTCATTTATCCATTCTTCAATTGATGGACATCTAGGTTGTTTTCCCCTCTTGGCTTTTGTGAAGGGACATAGGTGTACACATATCTTTTTTAGTCCCCACTTTCTATTATTTTGGATATATACCCACAAGTGGAATTTCTGGATCATATGATCATTCTACGTTTAACTTTTAGGGAACTGCCAAATTGTGAAGAATGCCAAATTTAGGTACCTCACATATGTGGAATCATATATTATTTGTCTTTTTGTGATTACCTTATTTCATTTAGCTTAACATCCTCAAGATTAATTTCCTTCCTCCTTAAAGTGCTATTTTACTTTCCCACCAGGGTTTATTGGTTTCAGTTTATTCACATCCTTGCCAGTGCTTATCACCCTCCCTATACCCAACATTTCCCTAAATAGTAGCCATCCTAGTGGATGTGAGGTGGTATTTCATTGTTGTTTTAAAATGCTCAGTGTACTTTATTTCCCTAATGATTGGTGATATTTAGCAGATTTTCATGTAGTTATTGGCCATTTGTATATTTTCAGACATATAGCTTTTTTAAGACCTCTGTCACCTTTTTGAAATTAGATGATTTGTTGTTATGTTATAGTTCTTTATATATTCTAGGCATTAACTCCTTTTCAAATACATACTTTGCAAATATATTCTTCTGTTCTATAGATTAGTTTTTCATTCTGTCAACAATGTCCTTTGATGCATAATAAAAGTTGTTGGTTTCCATGAAATCCAGGTTAGTTTTTCTTTTGTTGCCTGTGTTTTGGTATCATTTCCAAGAATCACTACCAAATCCAGTATCAGGAAGATTTACCCTGTGTTTTCTTCTAAGTTTCATAGTTTTACTAAAAAAAAGACTCCTAAGATTTAAAGCAGCCCTCTCAAAACAAATGCCCACCTCCTTCTATGCCTCACCCACTGTCCTGTCACCCCAGGTGGTAGCCAGTTATATTGGCCTTGTCTCACCTAGAGTAAAACACAATACAGAAATCCCTTATAGTCTCTGTTCACAGTAGACACACCTCTTTGACAAATGTATTTAATCAGTTTCCTGATGGCTGTGTACCGTGGTTGAGCATGATGAACATGAGGCTAAGGCCAAGGATCCTTTCTCCCCTCCTCGCCCATACAAAATACTCATCAACCATTTCCTAGGGCTGGGGATGTAGCTCAGTGGACTTGCCTAAAGTGCTCAAGGCCCTGAGTTCTATCTCCAGTACCAGAAAAATCAACCAACCAACCAACCATCTCTCAGTGATAGTGAGTTTTAGTGATTTCTGTGATAGCCCAGCAGAAATCCATTTGTGTAGCTATAGAAGCAACTCATACATCAGTCGCTTCATCTTTATGGAAAGCACAAAATTCTTTGGCTACACAGTATTTCTGATAAAAGAAAATAAGTATCTTTCTGTCTATATTCACTTCATCCCAAGCCTTGGCCTGTGAGCCACCTCCCAAACCACACTGCCTTCCAGCTGCCCAGATGAACACTGCATCCTCTGTTGTCTGTTTTAACTGCCTCGCCTTATGAAACTGGAATGGTTTAACAGCCACATCATCGAGTACTGTCAGGGGAACTGCCCTAGCTGGGCCTTGAGTCAAAAGGGGAAACTAAAACTTTGGTGCTATTGTCTCTTTAGGTGATAAATTGGGAGAACACGCTGCACATTCCATCCCAGGTCAAGCTGAGCCCAGAGGCAAGGGACCTCATCACCAAACTCTGCTGCTCTGCTGACTGCCGCCTGGGGCGGGATGGGGCAGATGACCTGAAGGCCCACCCTTTCTTCAGCTCAATCGACTTCTCCAATGACATCCGGAAGCAGCCCGCCCCCTACGTTCCCACCATCAGCCACCCCATGGACACCTCAAATTTTGATCCCGTAGATGAAGAAAGCCCTTGGAATGAGAATAGTGAAGGCAGCACCAAGACCTGGGACACTCTCACCTCCCCCAATAACAAGCACCCTGAGCATGCGTTTTACGAATTCACCTTCCGGAGGTTCTTTGATGACAATGGCTACCCCTTTAGATGCCCAAAGCCTTCAGGAGCAGAAGCTTCGAAGTCTGAGAATGCAGATTTAGAAACTTCTGATCTGGTGGACCAGAGCGAAAGCTGCCAGCCAGTGTATGTGTAGGCTGTGACCAGGTGCCCACAGCTCGTGTCTTCAGAGCCCGGGAGCCACAGCAGGTTCCTGAACAGGCAGATGGGAAGTGCAGGGTGACTTTGTTTGCAATAAGTCTATTGATTAATCACTTGAAATTCTGGTCTTCACCAAGAAAACCCCAAACCAACAAGAAACTGAAAAAACAAAAAAGAGAGAGAGAGAGAGACTGAAGTCTAGCAGATCTTCGTTTCTAGATTCTGTTTGATGGGTGTCAGGAAGGTTCAACAGGTCTTGGGATTGGCTTTGAGGGCCTTCACTGCATTAAAATAAGATTTTTAACAGTTTAGAAAGAGCACTTATTTTGTTGATATCCAATTTTTCTTACTAAATTATAGGGATTAACTTCGACAAATCATGCTGCTGTTATTTTCTACATTTGTATTTTATCCATAGCACTTATTCACATTTAGGAAAAGACATAAAAAACTGAAGAACATGTGATAAGAAATCTCTGTGCAATAATGTTTGAAAAAAAAAAAAAAAGATAAAGCTCTGCTCAGATGTCACGGAGACTGTTTTATCCACATAATGGTTTTTGTTTTGTATTTTTTCCCACATTTCAAAATTGTGATATAATGTTAAAAGCTGCTTTTATTATAATTTTTTTTGCTTTTTGCATATTATAGTATAATAGAAAGTGTGAGCAAAGTGATATGGGTGTGATTTCAGGTGTCTGGCGTGTGGAAAGTACTGCATGAGCAGGGTTTTTCTATTATAAAATTACCGTATCTTGCCATTCACAGCAGGTCCTGTGAATATGTTTTTACTGAGTGTTTTTAAATGAGGTATTTTAGACAATGTGCTGATAATGTATTGTGTGGGTGAATTCTTCCTTATGATTGTATCCCTTATTGTTTTGTTAAAGAAATGCAGATGTGTAACTGAGAAGTGATTTTTGTTTGTGTGTTGTCTTGGGTATGATTGGATTCTTTGGGGAGTAAACATAAACATTTGTCATGTACTAAACTTATATACATCAAAAGGGATTAATTCAGCTATACCAAAACATTTTAAGTTAATCATAGATCTGTGTCTATTTCTTGCTCTTTTCATTCTTGGTATAGCTGGCATGTGGAATCCAGTAGCTACCCTACAACTTAACTTTTTCACCAACAGCCCACACTGAAAGCTTAAATGAACATTAGTCCTCCTGTTTTTAGACAGCTGAGATGAAATTGAACAATCTTATGGTTCTTTCCACATTTTTTTTAGTGTGCTTTGAAGTATCAAAGCTTGGTTTAAACAGTTTATTTACACAAATGTATTGTTTAAATCATTTAAACATTTTTCTAAATGTATTCTTTTGTAAAAAAACAAAAATTCTTCAAAGTAACATTGGAATAAAAAAACAATTAAGCCATACATATTTTCTTAGATGTATAGGTGTATATATAACTATATAGATAAACACAAAATATTCCTTATTTCAAATTAGTATGGTTCCTATTTAAAGTGATTTATATTTGAGTAAAAAGTTCAATTCTTTTTTGCTTTTTAAAAGAACTGATGCATCATATTTTTCATTATATTATTCCACATATTTTTTCCTTGAAGTTCTTAGTGTAATGTATCCATTATTTAGTATATATCTAGCAACAACACTTATATAAGTTTATCAATGTCTAAAAAAAACGATTCCTGTGTACTGGTTTACATTTGTATGAATGGCATATTCTGAAGTCTGCTGTGCTTGTATCATGACTTACAGTATTTTCTCTATTTTATAGTAATGCCATGTTGTTATTTACAGCGCTCTGACATACTTTCATGTGGTAGGTTCTTTCTCAGGAACTCAATTTAACTATTATTTATTGATATATCATTTGCCTTTGAAAAGCTTCTACTGGCACAATTTATTATTAAAATTTTGAGTCCAAATGCCTTAGTTGGTGTCAAATTTTATTGGAATTTGTAAGATCTTGTCTTTATCAGCGTTTTATAACTCCCCACAAAACATATACACACACTTGTGATTCCCATACAGCCAGGTTTAAAAACTACTGATAGAGTCACTGTCATGAGAGAATATGGAAAGCTGTCTCCCAGACAAGGCTCTGTCTCAGAAAGGGCCTGGAATATGGAAAAAAAATGGATTTTCAGTCAGACACAAAGACCAAACCAGGATCTATGATCCTGGATCTGTGACCACGTTCTGTTCTATAAAATGGGGGTAAAATGTACCTCTTTTTAGGGTTTTGAGTGGCATAAGTGGAATATCAAATATATATTTTTGTAGATGATAAAATAAATCATGAATAGGAGCTAATTCCTCTGCATCATGATACAATTAAACTAAGGATGAGTGTAAAATCTCAGACCTGACAATAGTATGAAAAAATAGTATGAACTATAGTATGAAAAAATTTGGAAAAGATTGATTTGTTTGTGCTAGCCTTTCAAATGGGTATAGTCATGGTTTAAAAATCAAGATATATGCCCTCACTTGTAATCCCAGCAACTCGGGAGGCTGAATAAGGAGGATTGCAAATTTGAAGCCAGCCACAGCAACTTAGCAAGACCCTGCCTCAAAAAAAATAAAATAAATAAAAGGGACTGGGAATAGCTAAATGGTAAAGCACCCCTGCATTCAATCCCCAGTATCAAAAATATCTAAATGAATGTACAGAAAAATTTGCTGTCATTCATCTTCTTACAACAAATGATAGTAGTTTGTTGTGCATTCTGAGAGAAATGAAATCTTATATAGTACACAGTATAAGAAAAAGTGTATGTGTTCTTTATTGCTACCTACAGAAATATGAAACTGTTATACTTTTTTTTTTTTTTTTTTTGCAACTTTTTTCACTTGACAATGTACAATGTGTCTTAGCAACTATTTCAGCATGGAAACTTTTTTTGCAGTGTTACTGACTCAGGGCAAACAGTCCCGCGGAGCTACATCCCAGCCCTCTTCATTTTTTATTATTCCTGCATAGTATTCCATTGAGATGCTGTTGTAATCAAAGCAGTCTCATATTGGTAAGCATTCAGTCACTTCTGATCTATTGCAGTGTTAGAATAAATAACCTCTTATTGTCATTTTATTTTTTTTAAATATTTTTAGTTGTAGATGGACACAATACCTTTATTTTGTTTGTTGAGTTTTTATTTTACGTGATCAAACCCTATGTACCTCATGCATGCTAGGCAAGCACTCTACCAATGAGCCACAATCGCAGCCCTTATTGTCATTTTATATATGGGAAAGTAAATATATAGGACAGACTCCTAGATGTGGAATTGTAAGGGCTGGGGTTGTGGCTCAGAGGAAGAGTACTCACCTAACATGCGTGAGGTACTGGGTTCGATCCTTAGCACTACATAAAAATAAAATAAACTTATGTGTCCACCTAGAAGTGGAAGTGCTAGGTCAAAAATTAGGTTTATTTGCAATTTTTATTGCCAAACTGTCCCACACTGATATTGGGAGAAAATACTCTATAGCCTTCTGCACACCTAATTGCATAAGCCAAGAAAGCAGGACCTGGTCTTCTACCTGGGCCATTTATCATGGTTTAGTTTGCAGTGAGCAGCTTGAAAGAAGAAGGTGTTCTTCAGGACAAAGAAGTTTGGATCCATCTGGGTCTAACACAGTGGGTCTTGTCCATTTGAGGGCAAGAGGAACTGACAAACATGTGAATGTTCATGCTACCTGCTGTGCTATGAGAAAGTGCTTTGTCTCTGATCCAGGAGTCTCTTATCTTATCCCAGCATCTATGGAAGAATTAAGAGTAAAAATAAAATCTCAGACCTGACAATAGGTATTGTGCCAATGTATACTCCCAATAGAATTAAATACTTGGGATCATTTGCCTACAGTTTACCAACCACACAATGTAGTATCAACCTTTTTGATCTTTACCCATTGACTTTTTTTAAAAAAAAAAAATCTTGGTGTAATTTTACTTGATGTTTCTCTTATTTGGAAAAAAACATGAGCGTCTTTCTATATGCTTAACGTCCATCTAAATATCCCTAAAAGTAATAATCCTAATTTTATGATTTGAGTGTTGATGTTCAATGCTTACTTTGGAGAATCCCAAAAGATTTCTATTCCCTGCCAGGCTTGGTGGCACGCTGCCTGCAATCCCAGGGACTCAGGGGGTGCAACAGGAGGATCACAAGCTCAAGGCCAGCCTCAACAACTTAATGAGGCCCTAAGCAACTTAATAAGACCCTGTCTCAAAAAAAAAAAAAAAAGTGCAGGGATGGGGAACATAGAATATGATCAGTGGTTAAGTGCCCCTGGATTCGATCCCCAGTATAAAAAAAAAAAAAAAAGATTTCCATCCTCTTCATCTTCTCTTTCGATTAAAGTGAACTAATTGGGCTCACAGCCAGATAATAAATTACAGAGACAGACCTGCAGCATTTCTGCCAGATTCCATAGGAAAGGAAGCTTCTGCTCATGGCAGCACAGAGGCATAGCCAGGTTTGGCTTCTGCATATTTGTGGTCATGCTTGGGTGTGACTGGAGTCCATGGAGAGAAGAAATAGCTTATTGCATTCCTTTCAGTTTCCTTCACACTTTCATGCTATGTGTTTCTTGTCAAATCTAAATGCAAGTCGTAAAGTCAAAAACATTAGCCAGTATGGTAAGCTTCCTCCAAATCTTCTGTGATCTAAATCATTTTGCTTCTCCTGCTCTGCAGGTGCTGGGGATGGAACCCAGGGGACCTTGTGCATGCTAGGCAAGTGCTGTACCACTCAGCTACACCCCCAACTCAAGTTGCATATTTTTACTTTTTCCAGCTATGATTTGTAAACCCAATTTAAAGCCTCAGTACTTTTTTTTTACATTCACACAAAGAATTGTATATATTTACCAGTTGCTATATAATATTTTGAAGTACATATACATTGAGGAATGACTAGCTGTTAACACGTGCATTATATAATATAGTCTCATCAACTAACAATTATTTCTACTAGCAAAATTCAGCATAATAAAAACGATTAGCCAGGCACAGTGGTGCATGTCTACTAGGGAGACAAAAGATAGGATCACCAGTTGGAAGTCAGCCTGGGCAACACTACATAGTGAAACCTGTCCCAAAAGTGGTTTTTTTTTTTTCCTATTAAGTGCATATTTATAAGTAGTACTGTGCTAGTATTAACTACTGTATGTTGTTTCATCAGTAAA